GATGGTGACATTGCATGTAAATTTCCAAAGACCCCACCAAGCCACTAGTTTCTGGTGATGTCTGCATGTTTGTGACAAGCTCAAGGTGTGATTACGTCACTCTGCGTCCCACTGGGAATCGAGTCAGTATCCTTACATGGCACAGCATCTCCCATGACAGCTACATGTCACCTGCTGCAAGGGCAGGCTGCCAGCGCAGGAAAGGTAAACACTCAGCAGCAGAGCAGCAGAGGCTTCCAGTTGCTTCTGACATTAACCCACAGCCAGCCTGCACCCACATTTCCTGTCCATGACCTACCCACTGAAGCAAAAGATGACATGAACTGTTCACTCACTAAACAGCAAAAGTTGCAAGACTGCTGTCTTCACGAGGTAATAAAAAAAAGATAAATTAGGAAATGATATATCCCATGCTCTAATGTCAGATAAGTAACTTTATATAACAAGTATCTTTCAGTGAATAGCGTTTATGCTTTTGGAGTGTTTGAGTGAAAAGACTGTCCTGAGGCTTGCTTTATGGCAGCTTTTAGAGCCCATCAAAGAGACGGATGGAGGAAGCAAAGCTCGGCTGAAATACATTAATGTGCACAACAGTACCCTCTGCTAAGAGGAGATGGAGATGAATCCTGCCATATCCAGCCTCTTAAGGACAACATGACACCTGCATTGTTACCCCTGATAAGAGCTCTAGTCGTTGCTCTGCTTTAATGGTGTGCCACTCCATAGTGCATATTCACCACACTTTCCATCCTACCTTGATGCTTACACTGCTTTTGCCACCCAATGTCCTTTTTTTGTTGTTTTTAATGAGAAACTAGTTTTCTTCCTGCTTTCTGTGTTAACCCTCTCGAGCAAGGAGAGAAAAGTGGGTCATGGGCAGATGGAGCGTACAGTAGTAAGAACATGCCGGGTAGATTTTTATTTATTTATTTTCCTGTGTGTTTTTTAGTGAATTCAGCTTTTTTTGTAGACGTGGAATCAAAAAGGCAAAAAAAGAGAAAAGAGGAAGGATGAGAGACAAAATATTGATCTATGAATCTTAAGCTGTGAAGCACTTTGAATTGCTGGTTTGGTGTAAAAAAAAAAAAATTCAAGTCACAGTTTCTGTGTGAATGAACTGAAACGCTACAAACCCAACTGCATTCATGTTAGCCTAAGAATAAAAATCCCATTTTATGAGTTCTGCACTCACAAACTGAGACTGATTTGCATATTCACAGCCCTAAATGCAGTTATTCACTCTTAAAATTAAATAGTTTTTTATATATTTATTGGACAACTGCTTAGCATAAAGACATTCAGTAAAAACAGGCTCAGATCTGGCTTAAGGCCCCATTCATATGTTTTTCTCAAGGAAAACTGATGCAGTGCTGGGCTCTGGTGGCCAATTAAAGTAACTGAAATACCGCATACATTTTTTTAAGTTATCAGAATAATGTGAGAGAAACAGGTGAAAAGGAAAGCAGTAGAAACAAGTTGTCTTTTAAAAAAAGGATTAGGCTTTCTATCTTGTCAGCTCTTTTTAATCTATTT